CACACCCAGTACAACACATAGTATAAAATCATAACACATAGCTATAATAATCATACACACACCCAGTACAACAGTATACACACCAGTACACACACCCAGTACAAGTCTAACACACACACCCAGTACAAGTAACACATATAAAATCATACATACAACAGTACACACACCCAGTACAAGTCACATAACACATAGCTATAAAATCATACACACACCCAGTACAAGTCTAACACATAGCTATAAAATCATACATACAACAGTACACACACCCAGTACAAGTCTAACACATAGCTATAAAATCATACATACAACAGTACACACACCCAGTACAAGTCTAACACATAGCTATAAAATCATACAACAGTATACACACCCAGTACAAGTCTAACACATAGCTATAAAATCATACATACAACAGTACACACACCCAGTACAAGTCTAACACATAGCTATAAAATCATACATACAACACATAGTATACACACCCAGTACCAGTCTAACACATAGCTATAAAATCATACATACAACAGTACACACACCCAGTACAAGTCTAACACATAGCTATAAAATCATACATACAACAGTATACACACCCAGTACTAGTCTAACACATAGCTATAAAATCATACATACAACAGTACACACACCCAGTACAAGTCTAACACATAGCTATAAAATCATACATACAACAGTACACACACCCAGTACAAGTCTAACACATAGCTATAAAATCATACATACAACAGTACACACACCCAGTACAAGTCTAACACATAGCTATAAAATCATACATACAACAGTACACACACCCAGTACAAGTCTAACACATAGCTATAAAATCATACATACAACAGTACACACACCCAGTAAATGCCGAAGAGAATAGTAACAAGAAATATTATTACTGTATCATATATAAATTTAGATGTCCATGATCATATCAATCGTAATATGAGTCTCCGTTATCTCATTATCTAGAGTATAATTATTCCCGGTCAAACGAATGAAGTTAAATACCCTATACCACTTCAGAGAATCTTCCAATTGTCCTCTAAGCTTAACTCCATAAATCCTCTTCAATTCTTTGATATTGCTGTCTTGGTTACATGAAATATCTTGATTACTTTTCCAAATCCGCAGCATGATAATCAAATATAAGTACTTCAGCTGTAAAATTTGTAATGATCTCTAGAAATACGGACTAGTCTTCTTTGAGAATCAAACGGCACTATTGATGGTTATCTAAACACATAGGTAGTATAATAACTGTTCGATCAATGAAATACGATGTCTCTTAGGAACCAATCAAATTCAACGTTACAGTTAACCTTCCACTATCATTTTAATCTTAATTACCGACAACCCAACATAATTTTTGAAAATGGATCTTTTTGTCGATCATTTGACGAACAATGAAATATGTTATCTCTGAATAACCAATCAAATTCAATATTACAAATTACGATTCACTGTCATTTCCATTTAAGCTACTGACAACTCCAAAGACCTTTTGAAAATGCACTTTCCATTTTTATAATGAAATTTAACGTGACGTTTCAAATAACAAATTCTTGCGATTTACACACCAAAACTACTTATGAAAAACGTTTTCATTGAGAAAACAATAAGTATAATTGAATAAATATGTCACAAGATTTTAAAGGGACTACAGATGCATAGTGGATATGTAGGTACCCGACCAAACTCGTGTTCAGAAAATACGTCGATGAGAACTAATCGCTATCTTAATGGAAAATGTTTGTAAATATTTGTAAATGAAGGGTAACTATCTGTCGTTTGTACACCTCTTGATAGGTCTTAACGTCCGTGTTTCTGTCATCAATCACAATAGTGGGGGTATTTATATGACAGCTTGTCTGTGTATTAGGCCTATATCAAGTCAAATGTTTTGACAATCTTAATACATCTTTCATAACTTTATTAAGTATCACCAAAATATGTCATTATATTACTTAGTATCAGCATTTGTTAAACACGTATAAGCGAACATCTTGATCCGCAATAAATTAATTTTAGAAGTTTGAGTTTGTCTTGAGAAAGCTGTTATTTTTTCGTGTGGTGTGCCAAACTTTGTCAACTAGCGAACTCCAGGTTATTTCACCTATCAACGTCCAACTGCATAAAAGTTCAATTTTTGTCATTGATTGATCATATTGGCTGCATATTTTCCGCTAATATAAGTAAAATACCGCGAAGATAGGTTATAGTACTTATCAACTGTACACAAAAACAGCGTCAGAATTACTATAACAGAAACAATCAAAGTACTGAAAGTACTGAGAGGCTAAACGTATTGAAAAATGTTCACAAATAACCGCTAAGCTATATTACTTTCCCCATACTCCTACACTTTGGAATGCAAAAATTACTAAGAGAACCAGAGGCTATTTTTGTTAATTTTAAGCGATTTTATATCTTAAGTCTTATTTCAAATTTGACGACAATAATGTGAATAAATCAAAATAGGTAAAAAAATAACAAAATACGCACAACCATATATTTATCGCCAACAAGCCAAATGATAAATAGCTCTATGATGAAATTGACTAAATAAAACCTTTGAAATACCCAAGATGTTGCAATTACTATCCTATCAATATGAGGATTTAAACAAATCGAAAGGACTTTATACCTACTTCTTTATTTTGAATGTATTGCAAAGTAATAGTCCTTACTTATTATAATTATATTTGTAGTTGAGGAAAGTAGATAAGGTATACACAGCATTTCAGATAGATAAAAGTGTAAGTAATTACATTAAATGTATTTACATGCCTATCTTCACTGAAGTATCATGGTTAGACTTTTCTTCCAGTAATTATGTCTATGAAGGCATAGTTCTATGAGATTAAACCAGACTTCCATATATGTACAAAATTTACAATATTTTCACTTCTATTTCTGATCTCCAATGCATTAGATAATGCCACCATGACACGCTAAATGAATAAATATGTTATGGAAATATTTCGTTTTAGTTAACTGATAATTATAAACATGAATATTTTGGGTTTTTTTTAATACGCGCTTTGTTTGAAGGAAGATTTTCATTTCAAGGAACTTTGATACACATTAACAAACATTGAGAAATCAGCACAATCAACCTTCATCAAATAAAACTAAAAGACAAAAAATATAAGTTATAACAAAGTCAGCATCATGATCAGTACAGTATTAAAAATATATCATTCATAAATCATGAGCACCAAATGTACCTTGCCTACGAAGCGCAAACTTTTTATATTCAAAACTTGAAAAAGTGTCATGAGGTGGGTGTGAAAATCCTGAAAAAGTGTCATATCGGCGGTTGTGCGCGTAGGACGAACAGTCCAATTTTGTGACGTCTAATGAGGTAAAGTGATGTTTATATTAAGATGATCTTGCCACAACGACAAGGATTAAAGCAAAATTGATGTTCTGTTTGGAAGTTTTGTTTGTTTATAAGTGTTGTTAATTGATAATTGAAACCAAGACCCCAGACTAACTTCTTATCATGGCGCCAACTCTCACGTACAGTGTTCTGTACGCTTACGTCATGTCGAGAATTCCATACTACATATTGTTAAAAATTTATCAATAGTTCAACCACACTGTGCTTCTTTTTTAAAATATATAGTAATCCTATTGTTATTAAAAAAAATAAACTAATTTTTTATGCTTTTAAAATAGCGATTTGAAAAATCGCGGCATTATTTACGCAGAAAATTGCCGCTAGAGGGCTCTAACTCTTTTCGATATTTCAGTCAATGAGAAGGCCAGGATCGGTAAATTTTGTCTGAAAGGCCGTCGCAATAGGCTATGCGTACTGAGTATGTTTAGCCTAAAAATGGCTTGGATCACCTTTAAATCATACTATATCAAAGAAAATCTCTCGATGCAAAGACTTGTTAGCATGTTTTGTCAGTATTGAAACACACCAACTGTATACATTTCTACATGAAACTTCGATTTTTTTTCATCCATACAATAAATATTAGTTTTATACCCGTCTAAAGGTACCAGTTACTCGCTCCAGTTCATTTGTTTACAAGCAGCATCTTTATAAAGATACCTGACCTTAAAATACTTGTTTGCTCTATAATAAGTTTGACTGTAAGTGTGTATACTTCAGTAGTGATAAGGAGATGGAGTATTCTCCATGTTGTTACACCTCAAGTCCGAGTACTGTTAAGACACATCAAACATTCTCCGGATACAACAGGGATTAAATCCTAACCCAACGATCAATATGTTTTGACATTAAATGCTTTTGAAATCAAATAAACGTCTGTATGACAGACATGTTTAGTTTGATATATCAACTTGAATAAATTGCGATATTTATAAAAGAATTGAATGTGACAACATTATGGTTTTCAATCGTTTTACAAACATGTGTTGGCACCAAACTAAATACCTAGTATATAAAGATAGACTTCCAATGAATTGTCTACTGTTTAAATACAGCCAATCCTCGATATAACATCTGTGTTAGACGTCCTGGTCGTCGCCGTCATAAGGCCCATTTTCCATTATTCTCCTGTATTATCCTCCGATATATCGTGAAAACGCTGCAGTTTCACTAATTCGTAATACACTGTCATTTTGTACACATTTATTTTTTCCATTGCTTACGTTTTAAACAATCATTAATGCAATGGTTTGGCTTGCAATCATTCAAATATAATAAAACAATATTAATTATCTGAAATTTTTTAACACGGCTTACTTTGTTTAAATTAATACAAAACTGATATATAAATATATACATGGAAATAAGCAATTATTCTCCATAATCTTTGATATAAAAAAAAATATCGTTCCACTTCAAATTTCAGTGACAATCTTCAAAGTTTAAAATACATGCACATATTTTTTCTAATATCGAGGAGGATTCAGGGTGGACTTTGTAGCGGAGAGAATATATAGGATGACGTTGTAAAATGAAAATTACCTACAGGTTATTCTATGTTAACAGGTGATTTCCTTTTTCTGCTTTTAAATTAGATGAAGGCGGAACACGTTACCTTGACAACCAGCACTCGTTCCATGGATCGTTCCAAGACGGCTTTTGCGATGGGAGACTGGAAGTACGCCTGGGCGTACTTATCTTGTTCTGCATTGTACGGCGGGATGATCGGTCGTTTCCTGGAAGTGTGGAACATGAACGTGCTGACGGCGTCATTAACAAATCCTTTTTCAAGCTTTTTCTGGACATCGATGGCCGGGAGAGGTTTGATTGAGGTGGGTACCTTATCCTTGTGCCACAACGGACTGCCATATGTCACCCAAGACATCTTCTCTGTAACACAAATAATATCAGTGTATATAGCTTTATACTACAAGCATGCTGATATGTCCATAGAAACAGATTATTATCCTTCACGTCTCTAGGTCTTTCGTTGTAATTGCATAGAATTCTTCATCCTACAGAACAATTATTAATCTTTCCTGCGACAGAACACGAAATACGAGCTACAACTTTCTTTTTAAGTGTGAAAGATGGAAGTTTCAAAGTTGTAAATGTAGGAATAACTGGTAATACCTGTAGTTAAAGAACAGTTGATATGTCATGTTCTGTTAGAATGAAACAGAAAACTAGTTTGCTCTTAATATGCATCCTCGATATTTCAACGGTTACGTTTACTGTCTGGTCTGTAGAATGTGAAAGTGATCGTAATCCCCGGAGTATCGAAGAAGCTTGATATGACAAATCCTTAAATTCTAACATAATTTGGTAACAGAATATCATCATAAGAATAGTATCCTACTTATTGACCTTTAAACCCAAAGACAGCGTCAATCTAAAATTAAATTTCATGGTTATAAAATGGTCGGAAACAGATAAAAACAAAAAAGTTTTTTTTTTTTTTTATCATACAAGTTCGATATACAAAGATATGTTGCACAAACCAGTAAAAGCTAGCCGGTGATTTAAAAACGGAAATAGATAGATATCACTTCATTTTTTCATATCACTTATTCACGCAGTATGAATATTTTCGACACTTTAGATATTTACGTGTTGTGCAATTATGATATAATAATGAAATTAATTAAATTGTAAGTTATAGAACGTCAGGATTGAATCTAGATTTAACCGCACAGAATGCCGTGTAACTAGATTTGTTTTCTGTTCTGTTACCACTGAATGCTTAGGTCGCTAAAATAAAAACACTGCCAAAATTAAATCAATATTAATATGTAACATGACCGATATGAAAATATACAGAACGTATTTTCCTCTCAAACCGATATAAATGGCAGACATTGAATACTTTACCTGGATTTGTTGCTTTTTTCGTCATCATCGAACTGTTTTACACGCCAGTGCTACCCTTGATTTCTCATATTAAGCATGGAAGTAAGGTAGAAGTATGTATTTATAGAGTCGGAAGGCGAGAAACACCGGCACGCGTGTACAACAGTGGGGATAGAGGCGCGTATATTAACAGACTCTCCACTAATCCTACATTATCGTTAATCACACTTATACACCATATCGCCATTTCGTTCTTATCTATCTCATTGTTTGATAACAGGTAAACACATTAGGACATCATATTCGGTCCTCTGGGATATAAGCTTCAGTTGGAGGTGTATTTCATTCATGTGCGACCAATGCTACGTATTTTTGTAAGCGTGATATATTGATCTCAAAGTTGATAACGTCTGTATATGTATTACGACACTGTCGGGCAGACTAGACATTACAACTGATCTTTGAATATTCTGAATCGTTAAAAAACCATTATCACATGGAAAAAAATCTCAGTTCACTGGACCAATTGCGTCCAACTGCTTTTATTTCCTGTTTGGTAATACATCTTGTAAAAGGGTGATAATAGATATTCCCTCATCTCCACAAATTACAAAGATGTCTTATGTACATCTTTAGAGTGTCACAATTAGGAAACAGGTGTCACTAAAAACAAATCAATCATCAGGTAGTAAGGAGACACAAAAAATAAGTAATTAAAAAAATCTCAGGTGACACAAAAACTAACAGCAGGAACTGATGTGACTCAAAGACAGTTGGAACACTAAGACATTAGAAATAGGAGAGACAAGAAGTTAGTAGAAACTGACGAAACAGGAAAACAGTAGGAACGGACGAAACACAAAGTCAGTAGCAACTGAAGAGATACAAAGTCCTTATGAACTGTTGAGAAACGGACACAGTTGGAACTGACGAGACACGAAATCTTTAGTAACTGTTAAAACAAGAAAAAAGCTGGAACTGGACAAGACACGAAGACAGTAGGAATTAACAAGACACGGAGACATTAAAAACTGACAAGACACGAAGACAGTAGGAATTGACATGACACCAAAACAGTAGGAATTGACAAGACACAAAGACATTAAAGACTGACAAGACACGAATACGGTAGGAATTGTCAAGATACGTAGACAGTAGGAATTGACAAGACACAAAGACAACAGATATTGACAAGACACGAAGACAGTAGAAATTGACAAGACATGAAGATAGTAGGAATTGACAATACAAGAAGACAGTATGAAATGACAAGACACGAAGACAGTATGAATTGACAAGACTTGAAGACAACAGGAATTGACCAGACACGAAAACAGTAGGAATTGACATGACACCAAAACAGTAGTAATTGACAAGACACGAAGACATTAAAAACTGACAAGACACGAATACAGTAGGAATTGACAAGACACGAAGAAAATAAGAATTGACAAGACACGAAGACAGTAGGAATTGACAAAACATGAAGATAGTAGGAATTGACAATACAAGAAGACAGTAGGAAATGACAAGACACGAAGACATTAAAAACTGACAAGAAACGAAGACAGTAGGTATTGTCAAGACACGAAGACAGTAGTAATTGATAAGACACCAAGACAGTAGGAAATGACAAGACACGAATACAGTAGGAATTGACAAGACACGAAGACAGTAGGAATTGATGAGACACGAAGACAGTAGGAATTGACAAAACACGAAGACAGTAGAAATTGACAAAACATGAAGATAGTAGGAATTGACAATACAAGAAGACAGTAGGAAATGACAAGACACGAAGACAGTATGAATTGACAAGACATAAAGACAATAGGAATTGACAAGACACGAAGACAGCAGGAAATAACAAAACACGAAGACATTAAAAACTGACAAGAAACGAAGACAGTAGATATTGTCAAGACAGGAAGACAGTAGGAATGGACAAGACACGAAGACAATAGGAGTTGAAAAGACACGAAGAAAATAGGAATTAATAAGACACGAAGACCGTAGGAATTGACAAGACACGAAGAAATCAAAAACTGACAAGACACGAAGACAGTAGGTAATGTCAAGACACGAAGACAGTAGGAATTGACATGACACGAGGACAGTAGGAATTGACAAGACACGGAGACATTAAAAACTGACAAGACACGAAGACAGTAGGAATTGACAAGACACGAAGACAGTAGGTATTGTCAAGACACGAAGACAGTAGGAATTGACATGACACGAAGACAATAGGAATTGACAAGACACGGAGACATTAAAAACTGACAAGACACGAAGACAGTAGGAATTGACATGACACCAAAACAGTAGGAATTGACAAGACACAAAGACAACAGATATTGACAAGACACGAAGACAGTAGGAATTGACAAGACACGAAGACAGTAGGAATTGACAAGACGCGAAGACAACAGATATTGACAAGACACAAAGACAGTAGAAATTGACAAGACATGAAGATAGTAGGAATTGACAATACAAGAAGACAGTATGAAATGACAAGACACGAAGACAGTATGAATTGACAAGACTTGAAGACAATAGGAATTGAAAAGACACGAAGACAGCAGGTATTGTAAAGACACGAAGACAGTAGGAATTGACATGCCACGAAGACAATAGGAATTGACAAGACACGGAGACAATAGGAATTGACAAGACACGAAGACAGTAGGAAATAACAAAACACGAAGACATTAAAAACTGACAAGAAACGAAGACAAGACACGAAGACATAGATATTGTCAAGACAGGAAGACAATAGGAATTGACAAGACACGAAGACAGTAAGAATTGACAAGACACGAAGACATTAAAAACTGACAAGACACGAAGACAGTATGAATTGACAAGACTTGAAGACAATAGGAATTGAAAAGACACGAAGACAGCAGGTATTGTAAAGACACGAAGACAGTAGGAATTGACATGACACGAAGACAATAGGAATTGACAAGACACGGAGACAATAGGAATTGACAAGACACGAAGACAGTAGGAAATAACAAAACACGAAGACATTAAAAACTGACAAGAAACGAAGACAGTAGATATTGTCAAGACAGGAAGACAATAGGAATTGACAAGACACGAAGACAGTAAGAATTGACAAGACACGAAGACATTAAAAACTGACAAGACACGAAGACAGTAGGTAATGTCAACACACGAAGACAGTAGGAATTGACATGACACGAGGACAGTAGGAATTGACAAGACACGGAGACATTAAAAACTGACAAGACACGAAGACAGTATGAATTGCCAAGACTTGAAGATAATAGAAATTGACAAGACACGAAGACAGTAGGAATTGATAAGACATGAAGACAGTAGGAAATGACAAGACACGAAGACAGTATGAATTGACAAGACACGACGACAATAGGTATTGTCAAGACACGAAGACAGTAGTAATTGATAAGACACCAAGACAGTAGGAAATGACAAGACACGAATACAGTAGGAATTGACAAGACACGAAGACAGTAGGAATTGATGAGACACGAAGACAGTAGGAATTAACAAAACACGAAGACAGTAGAAATTGACAAAACCTGAAGATAGTAGGAATTGACAATACAAGAAGACAGTAGTAAATGACAAGACACGAAGACAGTATGAATTGACAAGACACGAAGACAATAGGAATTGACAAGACACGAAGACAGTAGGAAATAACAAAACACGAAGACATTAAAAACTGACAAGAAACGAATACGGAAGGAATTGTCAAGATACGTAGACAGTAGGAATTGACAAGACACGAAGACAACAGATATTGACAAGACACGAAGACAGTAGAAATTGACAAGACAGGAAGACAGTAGGAATTGACAAGACACGAAGACAGTAAGAATTGACAAGATACGAAGAAAATAGGAATTAACAAGACACGAAGACAGTAGGAATTGACAAGACACGAAGACATTAAAAACTGACAAGACACGAAGACAGTAGGTAATGTCAACACACGAAGACAGTAGGAATTGACATGACACGAGGACAGTAGGAATTGACAA